GCTGCTTGGCCTGCTGTGTTCATCCAGCCCTGCACCTTGTTGTCTCTTAGCTCTGTATACATGACTGGCAACGTGCTCAGTGTTCATTCTCATTTTTAATTCCTTTCGAGACTTGCCCCACGTTTGATCCTCTGCAGGTTGGCAGAGGTGAAGCGTGGTAGAGAAAACATCATATTCAAAGGGGTTGAAAAATTGAGACAAGTTCCACTGCGTTTTTTTTCCAAAGTGTGGGTGAAATGGGCTGCATCTGTATTTGTCACGGAATGCATAGCACTCTAATGTGTTGTACTAATCATTTTTTTTTAAAATTCCTTTCCAGTGTTCCTGAAAGTTTTTACGTTGATCTTGGGAATTGCCTACATCACAGTTGGTGAGATTTCTATTAAAAAGGATGCATTGGTGCCTCAAATTAAAAGGTTGCTCTTTGATACTGAGCTTCTGCATTTGTGTCATAGAGTCACACAGCAGGGAAACAGACCCCAACTCATTCATGCCAACCATATTCCCAAATTAAACTAGTCCCACCTGCCTGTGTTTGGTTCATATCCCTCCAAATCTTTCTTAGTCATTTACTTATCCAAATGTCTTCTAACTGTTGTAACTGTACCCACATCCATTACTTCCTCTGGCAGCTCATTCCACACACGACCCATCCCTCTGTGTGAAAGGCTTGCCCCTCAGGTCCCTTTTAAATCTTGCCCCTCTCACCTTAAACCTATGCTCCTCTAGTTTTGAACTCCCCCACCCTAAGGAAAAGATCTTTTCTATTCATCCTATCTGTGCCCCTCATGATTTTATAACCTTCTATAAGGTCACTCCTCAGCCTCCTACGCTCCAGTGAAAAAAAGTTTCAGCCTATCCAGCCTCTCCTTATAACTCAAACCCTCCATCCTGGCAACATCCTGGTGAATCTTTTCTGAACCCCCTCCAGCTTGATATATCCTTCCTATAAAAGGGCGACCAGAACTGCACACAGTGCTCCAAAAGAGGTCTCACCAATGTCCTGTACAACCTCAACATGACATCCCGACTCCTATACTCAAAGGTCTGAGCAATGAAGGCAAGTATGCTAAACACCTTCTTAACCTCCCTGTCTACCTGTGACACAAATTTCAAGGAACTATGTGCCTGAACCCATAGGGGTCTCTCTGTTCTACAGCACTACCCAGGCCCCTACCATTAACTGTGTAAGTCCTGCCTTTGTTTCTTTTATCAAAATGCGGTACCTCTCATTTATCCAAATTAAATTCCATCTACCACTCCTCAGCCCATTGACCCAATTGATCAAGATCTCTTTGTAATTTAATATAATCTTCTTCACTGTCTCCCATACCACCAATTTTGATGTCATCCGCAAACTTACCAAACATGCCTCCCATATTCTCATCCAAATTGTTTAATTAAATGACAAACAGCAGTGGGTACAGCACCGATCCCTGTGGAACATCACTGGTCACAGGGCTCCAGTCTGAAAAACAACCCTCCACCATCACCTTCTCTCTCCCATTGTCAAGCCAATTTTGTATCCAATTGGAAAGCTCTCCCTGAATCTCGTGTAATCTAATTGTACTAACCATGTGGAACATTGTCAAAGGCTTTACTAAAATCCATGTAGACAATGGCTACCACTCTGTACTCATCAATCTTTTTGGTTATATCCTCAAGAAACTCCATCTGGTTTGTGAAAACCATTTCCCACGCACAAAGCCATTCTGACTGTTCCCTAATCAGTCTTTGCCTTTCCAAATGCCTGTAGATCCTGTCCCTCAAAATCCCCTCCAACATCTTACCCATCGCTGACGTCAGACTCACTATCCTGTAGTTCCCAGGCATCTCCTTACAGAGTTTCTTAAATAAAGGCACAACATTAGCCACCCTTCACTCTACTGGTACTTCACCCGTGGCTGTACATGATACAAATATCTCGGCTAGGGGCCCCACAATTTCTCTCCTCACTTCCCACAACGTCCTGGGACATACTTAATCAGGACCGGGAGATTTAACTAAAGGAGTTACAGTAGTTCCTCTTCTGGTGTGTAGACTGTTTTCAAAACATCAATATTTGTTTCCCCAAGTTCCCCAGTCTCCATTTCTTTCTCTACATTAAGCACTGACGAGAAATATTCATTTAGTATCTCACCCATCTCCTGTGGTTCCACACATAGACTACCTTGTTGAGCTTTAAGGGGCTCTCTCCTGAGTTGCTGTTTTGCCCTTAATATACTTGTAGAATCTCTCTGAATTATCCTTAACCTTATCTGCTAAAGCTATCTCGTATCCCCTTTTGCCCTCCTGATTTCCCTCTTAAGAATGGCCCCCACACCCCTTATAGTCTTCAAGAGATTAACTTAATCCCAGTTATCTAAGTTTAATATTTGACTCTTTCTTATTCTTGACCAGAACCTCAATATCGTTATTCATCCATTGTTACCAGCCTTACCCTTCACTCAAAAAGAACATAATGCTGCTCTGAACTCTCATTATTTCACTTTTGAAAGCCTCTCACTTACTAGTCGTCCCTGAACCTGCGAACAGTCTATTCTAATTAACTTTGGAAAGTTCCAGTCTTGTTCCATCAAAAGTGGCCTTACTTCAATAAGGGACATTAACTTTTACACAAGGCTTATCCTTTTCCATGCCCATTTTAAAACTGATAGAATTATGGTCGCTGGTTCCAAAGTGCTCTGGCACTAACACTTCATCCATCTGCTCTGCCTTATTTCACTCCTTCTCTAGGAGGTAAACCTACACATTGGTAAAGAAAATTTTCTTGAACACAATTAACAAATCCCTCACCATTCAAGCCCTCAACACTATGGCAGTCCCTGTCAATGTTTGGAAAATTAAAATCTCCTACCATTACAACCGCATTATTCTCACACATATCCCCGAGATCTCTCTACGTAATTGCTCCTCAATTTCCCGCTGAATATTAGGGGGTCTATAGTACTATCCTATCAAGGTGATCCACCCATCTTTCTTATTTCTGAGTTCCACCCATATAGCTTCAGTGGACGACCCCTCAGAATTATCCCAAGAGTGGCAGTAATGCTTTCCTTAATCAAAAATGCCACTCCCCCTCCTCTCTTGCCTGCCTTTCTATCCTCCCTATAGCATCTAAAGCCCAGAACGTTGGCCTGTTGCTCCCTCAGCTATGTTTCTGTTTCTGACGTCCCGGTCCCCATGTTCCCCTCCATGCCCTCAGTTCATCTGCCCTACCCTGTAAGAACCCATGCATTGCAATAAATGCAGTTTAATTCTTCAGAGCTTGCCTCGTTCTCTGACTTGCTTTTGCCTGCCTTTTCTAATTAAAGTGTCCTTTTTAAAATCAGAGCCCATCCGCATGTCTTCCTGTTCTCACCATGACTTTAGTTTCAAGTGTTGGCGAGTGGGTCATTCCTGGAAATTAGGTAATGAAACACATATCTGGTTGTGTTGTCTTTTTAACTTTATGCAGCATTAGGGTCCTAGACGAAGCTGCGATGTTTTTGGTGAGAATTTACAGGCGTTTTTAAAGGTTCGATGGTTCTATATTTGAGCTGACACATGAAATGAATCAGGAACATGTAGAGAAATGTTGATGTGGGTCAGTGATTGATGCTCATCCTTGGGTGACTGTCTGGGTAGAGTTTGCATGTTCTCCCCATGTTGACGTGGGGTTCCCTCTGAATGCTCTGGTTTCTCCCCCCCCAGTGCAAGGATGTGTGGGTCAGGGTGGATAGGCCATGCTAAATTGCTCCCTGGTGTCCAGGGAGATGTGGGTTAGCCATTCAAAATGCAGGAATTGGGGTGGGATGCTCTTCAGAGTGGACTTGATTCGCCGAATGGCCTGCTCCCACAGTTTAAAAAGAAACAAGAATTAAAATCATCTAGCAAATTAAGAAGTTTTTATTTCTTGCTTTCTCAGTAATATTTTCCTCTCCCCCTTCCAGGTAGTATCTATTTGGATTCTTGTACCAAGCAACACTTGATCCCAATTTATCTGATTGTTTCCGGGATCAGTGCGCTATTCTTCCTGATGGTATTGCTGATTCCACGAACTTCAGACGAGAACCACATTCTCAATAAATTTCACCAATTTTTCACCCACTTGGAATCGTTGTTTTCGTTCATCTGGTTTATAACAGGTAACTACGATACTGTTTGAGTGAAACTTGTGATATCTGCTGGACGTCTCATTTCTTTACACTTTGCAATTTCGCCCTTTTCCCTGGAGCATCGGATTTTTCATTTTCAACAGCCAGTTGACAAGAAATACCGTAGTACCATACTGTCCCCACATGTGGAAACAGGCCATTTGGCCCAGCTAGTCCACACCGACCCTCTGAAGAGCTCCCCACCCAGCCCCACCCTTTCCCTGTAACCTTGCATTTCCCATGCCTAAACCCCACTAACCTGCACATCCCTGGGCACTATGGGACAATTTAGCACGGCCAA